CCTCCTTACCTACCTACCTCCTTACCTCCCTACCTACCATTCGCCCTCGTTGCCTCTCTCAGCTTCTTACCGACCTCTCGCAGGCGCTGATGCGGACGGAGGGTTTGCTGCGCTCACGTCGACATCCACCGACACCCGGACGGCCGGTCGCTGCTGCCCACCCGGTTTAAAAGCCAACATCATTGATAAGCCCGAAAAGCCGCCCGACTGCAACGGGTCCGATCCCGGGACCAGTGCCCATCGCTGATCCCTCCCTCTCTCCCTCTCTATTTACCAGCTGCTGGTTACCAGGTTACCGTCAATCCCGAGAATGGACGCGGGGTTTGAAACGGTACAAAAGCCGCAACGCGCAACATTACGGTCTCGGTGATTCCGGGGGGTTATCGCTCAGCACAGAGCAAAGGGTGTGTGTGTGACACCCCAACCCCCACCCATCTCGGCTGCAAGTCCTGGACTGTTCAGCGCCTTGGGACGTCCTCCCGACGGGAAAGGCTCTCTCTATATAATAAATACTAATAATAGGAAAGGCTCTCTCTATATAATAAATACTAATAGGAAAGGCTCTCTCTCTATATATAATCAATAAATACTAATAGGAAAGGCTCTCTCTATATATATAATCAATACATACTAATAGGAAAGGCTCTCTCTATATATATAATCAATACATACTAATAGGAAAGGCTCTCTCTATATAGTAAATAATAATAATAGGAAAGGCTCTCTCTATATATAATTAATAAATAATAATAATAGGAAAGGCTCTCTCTATACATATAATTAATAAATAATAATAATAGGAAAGGCTTTCGCTATATATAATAAATAATAAATAGTAATAGGAAAGGCTCTCTATATAATTAATACACAATAATAGGAAGGGCTCTCTACATATAGTGAATAATAATGATAGGAAAGGCTCTCTCTATATAATAAATAATAAATACGAATACGAAAGGCTCTATGTATATAATTAATAAATAATAATAAGAAAAGCTCTCTATATATAATTAATAAATAATAGGAAGGGTTCTCTATGTAACAAACAATAATAGGAAATAGGCTTTCTCTATATATATGATAATAAATAACAATAGGAAAGGCTCTATGTAAATGCAATTGCATGTTGTTATGACTCGGTACAGACTGCAATGTGTATATGGTACACAATTTCTGTACAAGGATTATTAATCTGCACAGACAGCAAATGTGTGTATATTATTATTATTATTATTATTACAGTCTCCGGCTATTTGATGAGTTTTTTTTTAATAGTCTCCTCTCCGGGGACAAGGCTGGTCCTGATGCTGATCGCCGTCCATCTGAGGCCTTCGCCGGCAGCGCTGGTTCGCCATCCCCTCTCCCTCTGCCCATCAGCCCCGACCCTGCGGCCGCTGCACAAAAAGGGTGGGGGGCGGTAGGGGGTGAGGGGGGGGTGAGGGGTGAGGGTGGGGGAGACACACACACACATAGACCACAGCCACATCGGACACACACACACACACACTCTCTCTCTCTCTCTCTCAGTCATCGCTGTAAATCTCAGTAACTCACTCACTTGTGATGTGAAGCAGGTTCGAGGCTGGAGTCACGCCACCAGGAGCCGGGGACCGGGTGGGGGTGGGAATGTGGGGGAGGGGGGGTGGGGGTGGGGGTGGGGGAGTGTGTGTGTGGGGGGGGGGTGGTCTCCGATCAGTGCGGGGAGCCGGCGAGCCTTCGCCTCCCTCCCGGGAGTCGCCGCATCGTCCCCGCAATCACGGGCTGAGCTGAGCTGTGTGGGGGTGGGGTGGGGGGTGGGGGGTGTATGTGGGGGATGGGGGGGGGGGGTTACAGCGGGACCGTATCACTCCTCCTGAACCTCAGGGGTGGGGGTGGGCTCCAGAGCTGCCGATTTGCTGGATGTCAGCAACACCCGCAGTGTCAGCTCCGCTGGACATCGCCGTCAGTGCGGCCGATGCGCTGCCTTTCGTGAGTACCGTTTCGTTCCGCTGCAGAAATCCCGCAGAGTCTGTGGGTTCAAACAGATGTTTCCCTCCTCCCTGAGTCGATGCATTAGTTACGGCCAGAAAGGAGGATTTCTCTCTCTCTCTCTCTCTCTCTGACTGCAACGAGCTGGGGGTGGGGGTGGTGGGGGTGGTGGGAGTGGGGGTGGAGTTGGTGGGAGTGGGGGTGGAGTTGGTGGGAGTGGGGGTGGTAGGGGAAATTGCAGGGTGGTAGGAATTGGAGGAGTAACAACCGTGAGAGCGATGGGGAAAGTAACAGGGGCGAGAGCCACCGAGAGTAACGGGAGAGTAGCAGCGCGAGGGAAACGAAGGCAAAGTGTGGGAGCAATAGGGGATGAGCAATGAAGGACAATTGTTAAGAGTAATAGAAGAGTGACCCTGTGAACAATGCGAGAATACTGAGAATAACCCTTCCGTTTGATGTCGCGTCTTATGGCGTCCTCGAGTCGTTTCCAAGCGCTTCACAGAATATACTGTAAAGTGAATTGGCTGTGTGTTTTGTGGGCGAAACAGTGTGAGAGTAACAATGTGCGAACAATGAAGAGTAACAGTGGAGAGCAATGGGAGAGTACTAGTGAGCAATGAAGGTGCTCATTAGAGGTGGGGAATTGTATTTTTCTGACTTTCAGAAGCGCCGGATGTATTATTTACCAATTGGATACGTCCCATCAGTGTTTTACCTGCATCAAGAAGGGGGAAAGGAAAGAGGGAGTCTTCACACTCCAATTATCAGATGCATCTGATATAATAATACAGACTATGGACTAGATCTGAAGGACCTTTTTTTTGTCTTTATTGCTTTCTGGGCCATCATGCATCAACAACAACAACAACAAAATTGCATTTATATAGCGTCTTTCACATCGGAAGGACGTCCCAAGGCGCTGAACAGACAGAGTTATGGACCCGAGCTGAGGGTCGGGGAGGGGAGGGGGGGGGGGGGGGGAGGGGGGGGGAAGCAGGGAGATCGAAAGCACGGGCGAAGAGGAGGGTCTTGAGGACTGATTAATGCCATTCTGATGCACATCAAGATTGTGAATTTAGATCATTTGTATCCACACCCCAGTGTACATCACATTTCAGCACTATGCTATTTTTAATATTAAGGACAGTTGGGATTAATTCTTTTTTTATTCAAAAAGGCAGTAAGGAAGATTATGGATGTGGGAGATGGAAAATAATGTTAATAGTTTTTCATTCTCAACTTCCCCCTTGCTTGCACAGCCACCTGACACAAATGTGGAAGCTAATATTGCCCATGTATAGAAAGGTAAAACAGCCTGTGTGTACATAGTGTACGTATATACACAAAAGGATATTTAAAAGCTATTGGATACCTCAGACAATAATTAAATTATGGGATTCATACATAGTAAATCTTGAATGATTTATGTTTATTATCTCAAGACAGAAATTGAATTATTATTTCATATTAAGTCTTATTGGGTACTATTTATAGTGACACTTGGTCAGACATTTATATGTAAGATATGTTGTCACTTTATTTCACTCTAGTTTCACTATTTGAACTGAGGTATTTACTGAACTGCTTGTTATCAGCAATAGCTTTTGTTAGTGTATGTTTATTTTCTTGGGGCATTTGCTGTCTTTCACTGACCATAGTACTACTGGCTTCAACCAATTTCTTTGATGTTATGGACATCTATTTCTTTGAGGATAAATATAGTGACATTACAGTCAATGAGTTAAATGATGTGGAGCCTCACAAATAATAAGTTTTGACTGATTATTATAGACAGTCAATGGAAGAGCAATTTAATATACAATAAATATGTATATTTATTTATATGTGATCTTATATGGATGAAATCTTTTAAAGTGTTACTAAACCAAAAAGACGGCACGCCATTCTATCAAATTTGAGACTTCACCAACACTAGGAAATTATAAAATGTTTTGTTGTTCTATAATAGGCAAATAATAGGTTGCTGATACATGTATACATAGTATATTGCCTAAGGTTTCCCAAAAGTGAGATCATGATCTAGTTATATGAGATTAAGTTACATGTTATAATTACAACGAAAATAACACAGAGATGTCATGTTTGCTGTAAAAAGATTCTGCAAAATCTTAAAGAAGAAACCAGTTATTATACTTTTGAGGGAATGATCAGTAGTACAGCTACCAGTAATTTAGTACTGTACTAAAGGGAAACTACAATGAATTATGGCATTCTGGCAATGATTATCTGCCAAATATAATAACTGGGGCCCAGGCCACATAAATCATGCTGAAACCTTACTCCTGACATTGCCTGGATGAGGTAGATTCAGGAGCAATCTCATGATTCCAACCTTTCAGTAATAATAATCCTTACATTTGATAGAGTGCATTTCATGCTGGAAGGAGACCTCAAAGCATTTCACAGGATATACTGTAAAGCATAGTGACTGTGTATTTTGAGGCAAAAGCTGCCAATTTGTGCACAGCAAACAACTATGAAGTGAACAACCAATTTTGTTGTGGGTTGTTGGTCAGAGCATTGGGAGAAAGCTTGGGGCTTCCAGCGAAAGAGGCGCTTAGTAACAAATGATTAACTCCTAATAAATCCTGAAATTCACATTCTAATTTTGATTCTGGTACTCGCGGTCTCGCAATTAGATATCTCGTGGTTTTGCTTGCTACTAGAAGGAAAAGATATCTGCCCTAAACAAGGAAAACAATAAAAGGTAATTAGAAAAATAGATGCATTTTTTAAAAATAATATTTTTTCAATAAAATATGTGTGATTATCATTTTTTTAAAATTAAACGATACAAAAAAAAACTTCTCTACGGTTGAAACTTGCTTCCAGTAGTAGAGGCGGAAAAGTTACGGGGAAAAAAATGCTGTATTGGGGGAAGAAAATACAGTGGAAGAGAGAGAGAGAGAGAGAGAAAAATGAGTTGAGCTGAATGAATAGCCTTTGATTCACCTTTGACTGGGAAGGTGCTGTGCGCTCGCAGGTGGGCGCCTGTAGGTGGCGCTGCGGCGGGAGGACGGGCGCTCGTCCCTCGTTAGGGGCGATTGCGGGGGGTCGAAGCGGCGGCAGGAGGATGGGTGGCAACGGAGCGGCGGGTCTTAGGGTTCAGCGGCCGCCGGGCACCGCGCGGGCAGTTTGTGAGTTGAGGGCTTGAGGCGCGGCTTCTGTGTGTGTGTGTGTGTGTGTGTGAGAGAGAGAGAGAGAGAGAGTCAGAGCCACAAGCAATGGCCAAGGTGCAGGTGAACAATGTGGTGGTGCTGGACAACCCGTCGCCTTTCTTCAACCCTTTCCAGTTCGAGATCACCTTCGAGTGCATCGAGGACCTGTCCGAGGGTGAGTCCTCGGGGCTCGGCGGCAGGGGAGGAGGAGGAGGAGGAGGAGGAGGGGCGGGAGGTGGGGGAGTGAGGCCCGGGGCCTAACCCGGGTTGTAAGAGGCTGACACCGGGCAGAGGGACCCACCGCCGTTACCAGTGGCAACAGCGGAGGTTCGCGGCAGAGCGGAGGAGAGTATTGCAGATGGCGGCTCCTCCCGTCTGTCTCGCCGCAGCCGTCCGGTGTGCACCTCTGACGGGCACTTGATGGATGTACCGGGTAAAACGTCCGGCCACTGGCGTCTGTTGTCTGTCTGTGTCTGTCTGTCTGTCTGCCCCGGGTTTGTAGTCTGCAATGTCCTGGATGTTGGCAACGTGTCGTGTGTGACGGTGAGCAGTTACTGATCAGCGCGGGTGGAGGAGGAGAGGAGGACGATAATGCGGATGCGCCTGAGTTTCGTTTCAGTCGTATTGATCCGAACTAACATTAACGAGTGCAGTATATTTTCACGGTGGGGAGGAGGGAGGAGGGGGGNAAGGGGAGAGGCACATTTCGTAACTGATTTAAGTAGAGAGTGACATAATTGGCCGCCGAGTCCTCTCTTTGCATGACACAGAGCAGTGGATGTGCAGCAGCGGTGGCAATGGGTTCAGAGAGCACCGGTTTTGTGGAAGGGTGTGACACATTGCCAGAAACTTCCGTGCCTTTTTGTGTCAGGATGGAGGCGAGCGGATCATTTGAGATTTTGGGGCCAGAAAGTCGCAACCTTTCTTATTTTAAATCCTGGGTCCACTCTGCCCTTCGCAGGCCCTGGAAATGACTTGCACATCCGAAGGTGTCCTCCTTCGGTTCAGTGGACTTTCCCGGCTGAGAGGGAACACGTCTGACAGGTCCGCAGTAGAAACATAGCTATGCCTTCAGTTCCCCAGTCAAAGGTCTAAACTGTGTGGAAAGCCCTCGCCTGTTACTTTAAGTCAATATTTGCTTTTCATAAAAGTTTTGTATAATTATTTCTCTGCACCTCTGAAATGCAACGTGCAATAAATAGCTTTGCCTCGTGGGTTGTTCGAACTAAGACTACAATAAATTGACATTCATCGGAAAGAAAAGCTGAATCGGGGACTATTGTGAGGATGTCGGTGACTTATGGTGTAATTGTGGTCGGCTGTATTTCTAATAGGATTGGGGCCTGTCAGTGAAACAGCAGTAATGTCCTGATATGTTCCAGATGTTGTAATTTGCAACGACTGTTGGTGGAACGCTGCTGTGCGCAACCGGCGGCTGCATTTCGCCCACAAAATAAAGATCCAATTCACTTTGTAGTATATCTTTGTACCGCTTTGAGACATCTCGAAGAAGTGATAAGGTGCTATATCAAACGCAAGGGTTATTATTATTAAGCGCTTTGAGACGTTTCAAAGACATGATGAGACGCTATATCAAATGCAAGGATTATTATTATTTTCTTTTTATAATATCTTACAGGGTTAGTCTGTTTTAATTGTTTCTGTGGAATAAGAAAAGCCGGATGGTCCTGATCACACTATCCAACTTTATCAGTTTGTTTTATACTGCTTGTGATTCTCTTCTCAGGCTATGACTTTGTATTTCAGCCAGTTGTAGAGGAAAATATAGAAATAGAGGTTACAGAGGGAATATTAAATATTGAATGAGTGACTCGTATACTTTTCAACGGCTATCAAAAGAAATACTGTATATGCAAAATGGAGGTGTGCCCAACAGTTCATTGGCTACTTGAGAGCCTGATTTTGCTGAGGTGAGAAAGGGAATCATATAGATAGGTCAGCAATTCTGGCACTTTGTATGAAATATAGGTATTGATGTGGTTTCAAAAAGGGAAATAGTAACTACAACTAAGTTGTTATATCTTGTTTAGGACAGAAGAGTGATAATTTTTCATTGACCATCCGTTTTGCATTATTTGGACCACATCATGCTGGAGTATCAGTGTGTTGTACTACTGTACTATAATTTTAATAACTAAATATATTTAATTCTAACTTTACTTACCATCCACATTTCACGAGAGTTTTTATGATTTTGCAATAGGTTGTGAGGTTGCAGTTTTGAATTAAGTGGAAATCTATATTGTACTAAAGATCTTTTTTATTCTTAGATTTGGAATGGAAAATCATCTATGTAGGTTCAGCTGAAAGTGAAGAATATGATCAGGTTTTGGACTCTGTTCTTGTGGGCCCTGTTCCTGCTGGAAGACACATGTTTGTTTTTCAGGTATACAGTGTAAATATGGACTATTTTCAAGAAAGCCATTTAAGGCAAATAATTGATTTATAATAAACGTTTTTACTGTTCTCAGCAGGCAACTGACAATAGGTTATTAACAGTTTGAGATCGACTTTCTGAGAACTAATATTTGATATATATCATGGGTCTCTTGTGATCTTGTTGTGGAATTTACAAGGAATGCAGAGAGTCATTTAATCCCATTTTTTCAGAATAAATCTCCCCCCCACCACCACCCACACAATCTTCCCATAATAATAACTGTTACATTTGATATAGCATCTTTCACGTCAGGAGGACATCTCAACCGTTTCACAGGATACACTGTAAAGTGTAGTGACTTTTTTTAGGTGAACACAACAGCCAATTTGCACACAGGAATGTCCCACAAAAAGCCAAGAAATCAGAGAATAGAACCAGAACATGTCAGCATTGAAATCATAGCATAAATCGAAGCCCTTCCAAGGAGCTTAAATTTAAATTGGTTTCTTAACTCTCGATACTGATTTATCCACTTTTTGTCTACAGTTAGTCTGACCCTTTGCCAGGTCATAAGTGGATTTTCTCAATAGCCTGATGAACTGCACACCAGTTCTTCAGAGGCTAATCAGACCAGACCGATTTGTTTTTGTATACTGAAGCTTTGTCATAGGTGAAATGTCAGGAGATTTTTGCTGAGCCCAATATTGGACCTTTAGTTTGCTCAAAAAATTATACTTTTTGTAATATTAAATCACTTTAATTCGTGAGTTGTAGTTTGTAAGAACAGAAGTGAAAATATTCTAGTATAATTTTGTCTATTTGAAGCTAACAATTGAGTATATTCTATGCCCTCATTTTAGCTATATTCATCAATTTAAATGATGCCATCATGTGGTAGAATTTAGCTAGTGCTACAGATACCAGTAGATATCAAAATATGTTTTCATTCAAGACGGTGAAATTGTATAGACCAGTGACACTGTCATTATGAATTTAGGAACAATAAATTAGTTAATATACTGTTGGTATGTGGTAAATAATCATTTTGGCATACTTATAATATATACTGACTATAAAGTTAGTCAGCTACTGTACAGTTATGTAAAAAAATAACTTTTGCTTCAATTGAAAAACGTAGACACTCATCAAATATGTACAAATTCAGAGCAGACTGATGCCATGTAAATGTTTAAATGAAAAAGTGAACAGTCAAGAACAGAGATCAGCTTGGAATCAAATTTTGCATTTATTTAAAAAAAAAGCAGATGAGATGAGAATATGAAATGATTGTTTGTTGTGAAGGTGAAAAGCCACATTTTGTGCTAAATACATTTTAAAAGGTAGCCACTTTGAGCCAGCTAAGTAAGAATCTTAAGAAAAATTCATGAAATTGGAAAATGAGTATAGAAATTGAAAGGGGGAGGGGGGATTGTTCAGCTCTGCATCCGTTGATTGTAGAGGACCTTATTATAGCACCTTTCCCAGTGTAATCAGTATCAACAATTTGTGATCATCAAAACTGAATCGTTTTTACTGTTCTTCATTCTTGTCAATTTTTCATTCTTTCTTGTTGCAAAACAATAGGCAATGTATCCTGTTCTATCAACGTGCAACTAATGTTTGTAAATATGATTGTTTGCATCGAGTTTTTCAATGATTTTGATTGTTTTCTTTTAGGCTGATGCACCTAATCCATCCCTTATTCCAGACGCAGATGCAGTTGGCGTAACTGTTGTTTTAATAACATGCACATACCGTGGTCAAGAATTCATCAGAGTTGGATACTATGTAAATAATGAATACACAGATCCAGAGCTGCGTGAAAATCCCCCTGTGAAACCAGACTTCTCTAAGGTTGGCCTATTTGAATCTATGAATTTTGTGATGAGTGTTTAGAAAAGGCCAGCTAAATTGTACAAGAACAATTTTATTAACATTTAGTTCGTGCAGTTATAAGATCAAAGTATAACAGTGCAGTTTTATAAATTTTTTCAGATTAAATGGTTGGCCATTTTTAAAAGAATTTTGTATATCTAATTAATGCACTCAAATCTCAAAATATATAAGTTTAATATTTTAATGAAACCAGTTTCAAACTTTGAAAAGTTAAGTGGTCTTTGTATTAAAAGATACCAAGTCAAAATATCAACTCTTGCGTAAATTTTCAGAATTAGTGAATTACAGCTAGATATTGACAATTACCTTGTTTTCAGTGTTTACTGATTTGTTAGTGTGTGTATGTATGTTATTGAAAGTTCTCATCTCATTTAATCCTTATAATAATTCTCACATTTGGTATCGTAATCATGTTGTTTTAAAGCACTTCATACGATATTGCTTTCCTTGACTTGAGCTGAAAGCTCGATTTTGAATAATACTTAACATATTTAAATTATTCTCTTCAGCTCCAGAGGAACATCTTGGCTTCAAATCCACGAGTTACAAGGTTTCATATCAACTGGGATGACAATGGTGAAAAAATAGAAGATTCTGAAAACACAAACTCAAACATGCATTCAGTTCTTTCTGCAAGTGCATTACCATCAGCCTCAAAAGGGCTAGTTGTGGCAGCAAACTCATTAAATGTAATGGACAATCAAATGGACTGTATGTGATCTATTGGACACAAATATGAAAACAAACTCAAATAGCATTTAGTTGTGTTCAAGAATTTCAGTAAAACCTTGTGTAATTACAGGTGTTACTGCCCTTATAAAAAAGTTTTTTTTAAATGGAGGTTGTATAGATATTTGTAAATAAATTTAAAATCTTTAATGAGGGTATTTGTTTTAGCTGATCTTTTGTAAGCTGGGTTTTACCAGCAAAAACTATCTTTTTAATATATCAGCATTTAACCTTTCATTTGAAGCTAAGATCAAACTACTTAAACTGCAAAATAGTTAGCCTTGATTCTAACTTTGGCATATAGAATATAACTGAAGAAATAAGTGGAAACTCAATATAAAGAGAAAAAACATGATTTTGATACTTAAAAGTTGGGCAGCCAACTTCGAAATAGCCTGATGCTTTCTACTGGGTTTGAATTACAGCGCAAGACAATTGTTTGGTTCTTAAACTCTTAAGTTATCTGAACCGTTCATTCTGTAAACCAATTACTGTAAAAATAAGTAATTGGAATGTTTCAGTTGCTTCAGTGTAAAGTAAATGTATGCATAAATAAAATGAATGAATGGGCCACATTTATTTCCATGCATCACTGCAGTTATTTCATTCTTTGTGAAGTTATGACCACAATCAACTTGTCTTATGATGTACTACAGTAATACCCCTTAAATTCCTTACAATTCTGCACTATTATTACTTCATGCCTGCTGTCAATAGTCAATTTCTGTAGGCTAGGATTTAGTCTCTTCACCCCTACCCTCTGTACGAATCTTGATATTTTATTCCCATTGCCCCAGTTCCTGCTCTCTGTCGGGTTTAAATGACCAAAACAATACCATGCAACATTCTAACAGACAGTTACCATTCAAACGAGTATTCAATCAAGTTTGCAGGTTCCCTGATCGTGATGTTATTACTGCCACACCTCCCCTGTAGGTGTAAATATGATAAGTACAATTTCATCTTGTCTTCTAATTGAAAAATCCTGATTTGAGAGCTATCAGCTTTTCATTTAAAACAACATAAAGCTGTTTTGTTGCAGTTTACATTCACAAAACATTTGTTATATTGATAAATGGAAGCATTTTGAATATTTTGACATCTCCCAAAAGAGTAATAACTACAAAAATGTACCTGTAGTACTGATATCCTGTTTGAGATCAGATCATTTTGATTTATAAATTACTATACAAATATAGGTATTGATGAATTTTGCACTGATCAAACAGGTAATGGAACAATTAAAACATTCAAATATCTAGTCTGCACCAAGTATTTACAGGTTTGGTATGTTTGATGTTGGGTAAACCTGCTTCAATTTGTCCCACAAATCTCAACTGCAATCACAGAAGAACACTACCTACTGCACCACTGTAAATTTCCTATTACAGACATTCTATAATTCCACTGAATAAGATTGCCAAATGTTTCATTGCCAACATTGCCACAGTGAACTTGAATTACTACCTCAAAATCTCAGAAGATTTATGATTTATCAAATGGTTTTAATATCTATCTGAATTAGTTTTGATGAGCGGTTATATTTAGAGTGGGTTCCACAAACCGCCTCTGTGTAACTGAACAACTCACCATCAGAGAGGTTAATAATTCAGTACTCTGTTTTGAATGCACTTAAACCACTAGGTGGTGTTTTGTTAACACAAATGTAGAACTTCCTTTAGCCAATTAGTTCATCTGATATTTTTCATGAAGCATATCCAGACTTAATGATGGTGTGGATATTTTTGTATTACTGTGGTAATTTAAAATGGCAAGAGACCATGTTTCACAAGGCTACATTTTGGTCTTATACAATCATACACAATAAATTTGTTTATCATCATGGTTAACAAATCCTCATAAATGTTCTAAATTGTTTTTAATCAATCAAATAATCTCAACAAGGGCCACCTAATTTCTTTTTAAAAAGTGAAATTGGGTAATCTGATGGGACTATCATGGTCATCTCAAACAAATCTACAAAAGTAAGATACTATTCCTAGCAAACTCAGGATTATATTATTCACACCGTTGCAGTATGCAAGAATCTTGAGTCTTTTAATCACATTGTATGCAATATCCATATACAACAATTGTTACTGGATATCAATCAAGAGCGGTTCAAACTTCACCTTCCTAAGGCCAACTTTAGTAGTTTAACTGCTGGGGTATCTAGTTGTTCATAAAAAATGGTAGGTGACACAGTTTTGGTATGCTGCAATATCTTCAAGGGGAAGGAGCAAGTGATGATCAAGGTAAAGAAACAAACTTGAATTCCTGAAAAGGAAAAGAAACCTTGTATTGAACCATTTATCAGAAAATATATATCATAAGCATGCAAGATGGCTGTTGCAAATTATGAAAGCAGAAAATAACTAATTCCTGCACAAATTGACAATCAACCATATGTTTTGGAAGTTTGATTTGCCAGAATTAATAGACAAAAAGATCAAAATCATTTAAATAGTATAGGGATCAGGTTGGGAGTTTCATATTAAAAAAGGTTGAATTCCATGGGATCTTCAATTTAACATCTCATGCAAATAATGGCATTGCTGACAATAGAGGACTCCCATTACCATGAGGAGTATCAGTCTAGACTATGTCTCAAAATGGGTTGTGAATTTACAATCTTCTGACCTAGAGGCAAAAGTATTCAAGATCAAAAAAAGTTATTTAGTCTTACACATTTTAATTAATGAAATAGCTATTTAGTTTTGAATGCAGTTTGTTTACTTTGGACAAAACACCAGGTCCCACCCAATTCTATTGTAAGCTATTCTAAATATGAATGTTAATCTGGATATTAATTTAGTCTAGATTTTTTTGTTCTGAGTGAAAATGCCCACTTTTTTTTAAGTGAGTACATATTACAGCATACAAGTTAGGAGCATTGTTGTATCATTGTTGTCCTCTCACTTGTTTTCAAATCCCTTCATGCCCTCACACCTCCCTACCTATCCATATTTGCTTACCCCCCATACTCCACCACCCACTGCCTCCGCTCGGCTGGTTCTGGCCTCCTGTTCGTCCCTCATCCCCTCCATTCCACCATCAGTGTCAATGCTTTCAGCCACTACGCCCCAAAACTGGAACTCTTTCCCTCAATCCCTCCGTCTTGCCCCCTCCCTCCCCACTTTCAAATCCTGCCTAAAGACCTTCCTTTTTGATCATGCGAACGGTCAACTCCCCCACTTCCTCTCCCCCTGGGTCAGACTCCGCCACTGTCAAGTGCACCGGGACGCTCCCCCTCATGAAGGGCGCTATATAAATGCAAGTTGTTGTATGTTTGATTATATATAACCACATAAAATTGATTAGTTCAACGTAATTGTTAACTTCTCACTTAACAAGGGTTGATAAGAATACATCCTGGTTCCATAATCACAGAGATTAAGGATTCCATTTGAGGAATTTAAGCAATCAACTCTAAACAAATATTTTAACCCTAACATATTTCTCTACTGAAGAGATATATTTAGATGCTGACAAAGAACTCAACCTGTCAATAGTTACATATTTATATACAGTATTTAGCATTAGTAGCTAGCCTGATGAAGTAAAAGAAATTTACTTTATGCTTCAATCTGTTTTGAGTAATAAAAAGAGCAGAAAGATAAAACATGCTTTTACTGCATTTCAATGTGATTGAAGGTCAAGGACTGTTGTTTAAACAGGCAAATTATTAAGAACATTCGCTTGGATGCTGCAAAATACTGTATTGATTGCACTGTTAGTTTTTATACTGTAATGTAAATAAACAATATTAATTTATTTTGAAAATCGATTCTAAATATTACTGAAACAATCACTGTAGTTTCCCATATGAAGTATTTTACAGCCAGAAAGAATTCTCAGTAACTACAAGGTATGATTAAAGAAGATACAGATTTATGATAGATTACAGTGCAACAATATAAGGTTTCAACTGTGAGAACCAATCTGTTTAGTCTTGATTCCAAACTGATTAGTACTGGTAATAGTCAGAAAAGCACGTTATAAAATCAATGATTTGTGAAAATAATCCATGATCAATAGAAGTAGATTAGTAGGAAAGTAAACAATTTAGGAAACATTTCATATTTCCACTACATATCTAGAGAAACACAGCTATACATAGTACTTAATATGAACTTAAACTGATTTTCATTCCAGTGGGGAATTTTCCCCATAATGGGTCTATTTCATATCGGCACTCAGCCAGGCTGGTGGCTTGATTACTGGCATAGGTCTATAGGAAGAATTTTAGATGTAGTCTGGCTATGCTATGGATTCTTCATTTTGACTCACTTTCCTCTCATTTTGTTTCTTGTCAGCCAGGTATCTTAACACACGAAAACCCATCACCATACTTAAGAATTTAGAAAACAATCTAAAACAACAACAAAATTACATTTGTATAGCGCCTTTCACGTCGGGAGGACGTCCCAAGACGTTAGACAGAGTTACGGACTCAAGCTGAGGGTCGGGGTGGGGGAGGGACGAGGGCAGGGCGGGGGAAGCAGGGAGATCGAAAGCACGGTCGAAGAGGAGGGTCTTGAAGGTGGAGAGGGAGGGGGCGAGACGGAGGGACTGCGGGATGGAGTTCCAGACGGTGGGTGCAGAGTGGCGGAAGGCCCGCCCGCCAATCGTGGGGCGAGCAAGGCAGGGGATGTGAGGCAAGCCGGAGCCCGCTGAGCGGTGGGAACGAGCAGGATGGTAGGGGGTTAGGAGGTTGGAGAGGTAGGGGGGAGCAAGACCGTGGAGGGCTTTGAAGATAAGGACCAGGATCTTGAATTGTATCCTCTGTGTGATGGGAAGCCAGTGGAGTTGGGCAAGGATGGTGGTGATAGGGTCACGGAGCCAAGTGCGGGAGAGGACACAGGCTGCAGAGTTGGGGGACGGCAGAGCGGGCCATGGCGCAGATGTGGAGTAGAAAGGATAGTTGAGGGTCAAACAAGACCTCAAGGTTCTGGACTGGCTTAGCAAGATGGTGTGTGCAACCATGGATGGTGATGCTGTCAGCGCCTGAGGTGAGGAGGCACTGATGGGAGCCAATCAGGAGAGCCTCGGTCTTGTTGACGTTCAACTGAAGAAAGTTAGCTCTCATCCAGGACTTGATGTCTGACAGACATTCTGTCAGCACAGCAGTGGTGCTGGAGTCAAGTGTGGAGGCAGAGAGGTAGAGTTGGGTGTCATCCGCATACATGTGGAAGTTGATTCCATGTCTGTGAATGATGTCACCAAGAGGGAGCAAATAGATGTTGAAGAGGAGGGGACCAAGGAGAGAGCCCTGAGGAACGCCGAACGAGATGGTTCGGGGGCTGGAGGAGAAGCCGTTTGAGGAGATGAAGTGCAGGCAGTGTGAGAGGTATGATCTGAACCAATCAAGGACAGCGCCGTGGAGGTTGAGGTGAGAGGAAAGGATAGAGTGGTTGATGTTGTCAAAAGCAGCAGAGGTCAAGGAGGACGAGGAGGGCAGAGGGAGCCCTGGTCGCAGATAGACAGAATGTCATTTGTCACTTTTACCAAGGCGGTTTCTGTGCTACGGGTGGCACGGAAGTCCGATTGGAGGGGTTCAAGAAGGGAGTGGCAGGAGAGGAAGGAGCGAAGCTGAGAAGCAACAACTCGTTCCAGGACTTGGAGAGCAAGGGGAGGTTGGAGATGGGGCAGTAGTTAGGGAGTAGAGAAGGTCCAGGGAGGGTTTTTTAAGGATAGGAATGATGACAGCAGTTTTTAAAGGGGTGGGAACAGTATCAGAGGACAGGGAGTGGTTAACAATGTCAGTGAGTAGAGGGGCAAGGAGGTGGAGCTGGGAGGTAAGGAGGGGTTAGGGTGGGGTTGAGGGAGCAGGTGGTGCGTTTCATACGGATTATGGTGGTGATGAGAGAGGAGGGTGAGACGGGTTCAAAGGTTTGGAGGGAGGGGTGGTAGGGGCTGGGGTGGGAGGAGGAGATGGGGAGGGATAGCAGTTGCAGTGGCAGCTGAGCGGATTCCCTCGACTTTGGATTTGAGGAAGTCCAGCATCGCCTCGCAGTTGACATTTGAGGTGAGAATGGGTGAGGCATGAGAGGGTGGAATGGAGGAGTCGGTTCATATGGAGAAGAGGAGCCCGGGGTTGTCCTTAGCCTTCAAGTTTGTCTTGGGAGTAGAACAACGATTTAACAGAGACGAGGGCGGAGTGGTAGGATTTGACATGATCCAGTCAAATCTGCTGGTGGACAGTTAGGTTTGATTTAAGCCAGGTGCTCTCAGCGGAACGCGTCTGGGCTTTAAGGGAGCGGAGGTGGCTGGTGTACCAAGGAGATTTGCGTGAGTAGGAGACAATTTGGGAAGAGAGGGGAGCAAGGGAATCAAGAGTGGAGGAGAGGGAGCTGTGGAGAAGGATGACCGAAGATGATAGGTCAAACTACATGTTTTTGTTTGTCAGTATGGTGCTCGGACTTTTCACAGAGGGATGCCCAATGACTAGCTCATAAACAGGCCAGGTTATCTAAGCCATTATCAACATTGCTCTGGAATACTTCAGTCTCAGGAATTAGATTCCTGCAATCACCACAGAGGAGTGACTTTAGTCATTGACAGTCATGTTACCTTGGCACAATTTAACCCCAAAGCAACATTGCGTAAAATACATGAGTGCATTGCCAATTCCTTCTGACCTCAGTTGGACCCCTTGAGCTGTGGTTTCACCAGGTGCTTTTGAGCTTCAGCAGCAACTGGTTACCTATCTGCATACCAATCAAGGTAGGCACCATGCCATGGGTATACGTGCGTATGAACCTAGACTCCAGGTAACACCTTTTAGCAGCTGCTACCCCAAGCCAAGATATTCTTATCAGCTATTTCATGGACATCTGCCTTAAGCGTGGTGTTAGGATATACAAGAAAATTTGAAAGCCACTTGATTTTTTAAAGGTCCAAGTTAAATACCACATACCAGGCTTACTTGTTCCAACATGCTTAATTCAAGTCTCCCCTATGCAGCCATCTCCCCTTTTTGCCAGAAATCCACCTCACAGCCTGGTAGCTCAGTGCTGGATATCGGCAATGGCCTGTAAGAAATCCTTCCGTTGCATTTCCAGGAGCTCTGAACCGGCATTGAAACTTTAGGATCATTAAAAAGAGGAAAAGTGTCCTTCAACTGTTCTCAACACGCCTCTCTATTTACCATTTTTTTAAGTTTAAATAGTTTTCTTCGTTCCTGTCACTTTCAGTGTACTTCATGTGGCATTTAACCTTTAATGTGGTCATACTGTAGGCTGCCGGCTTGGGTGAGGTGGTGCGATGCAGATCTCACAATAAAGTCCAGTCCAGCCAATTTCCCTTTTAATGACATGCTCTGTTTCATGCCAAACGTGCACACATTTGCAACGTCAGAAATATCTGCAAGTCCTATACAAAACTGTGATTGGAACAGCACCACAGGAACTGCCAGCACTTAAGCCAGAACTCCATGTTTATGCCAAGAACACAAGAGCTGCAGCAGCTGCACCATTTTGTATCAGCCAAAATGTCCACACTGGAATACCAACAGCAAAACTTACACTCTACCTCGGTAACTCAGTTTCCCAAACAAAACTTAAAGGAGCAGTGCTGGCTAAGATGAAACCAGGACTTCATTACTGATATTTTCTTTTGCACATTTTGGAAATGTTAATATTTTCTCTTCAGAAGACACAAAAGAAAACTTCTGTGAAAAAAGGAACAGCATTACTGCCATTTTATATTTATAAACATTATAATAATAATAATAATCCTTGCATTTGATATAGCGCTTTTCACGTTGGGAGGACGTCCCAAAGCGCTTCACAGAACATTCTACATTTCCAAACAATTGTCTCGAGCCCAGCTTTCTGGTCCCGAACCAGGCGGGTGACAAGTTTATCCCCATGCCATTATATGGTGAACAAGGATCGTGCCAAGCTTTAGATGAAAGAATTACTGAAAATTGTCAGTATGAAAGAATTTCCAAAAATGGTCAACGCTGGATTGTATCCCAGTAATTCTCCAAGTCTTTATGCGCTATCAATAAGCTGAAAAGTCAAATATGTTTTGTTTTACCCTCAATTCTTGGTCCTTGTCCATACATCCTTTCTTTTTTTCTTATTCCACTTTATTGATCTAATTTTCTCCAGCCCACAATCTACGCTATTTAGATTCCAGTTTACCACTGCTGCTCCATTCCCGCCACTCCTCCCACCATTGTAGGCAGATCCTTCAGCTACCACTCCCATCTTCTGAACTTACAAAACCACTTTGCCTGGCTACTTCTTTGCCAGTTACAAAAAATCGCCCAACCATTCCAATTCCTAAAATAGTGTCTACTGCTCCCTTTATTAAATTACATTGACTTTATGTAAATGATACGACAGTAGAGTATATGCAAGTCGTTGTGAAAGATCTGCTGTTAGTACATTTACTGCACTTTGTCATTCTGCCACTTATAAAATTATAAAATAGTCAGAGGGAATATATCCGTCAAGACATCCTGGTTTTGATAACTTTCAAGAAATTAGTTTTAAAAAAAAACCATTCAGCTACGATGCTTCAGGACACTTTAAATTCCTAAAGCAAAGAGCAGGGACGAGGACGGACATCAGTTCCACAAAATTAACATCCCGCGTCAACAAAAACTGCTTCTTTCCCCCAAATCATTCGCCAGCAGTTCTATCCCGGTTTCCGAACGCGGCCCGTTGAATGTTTATATAAAAAAAATACCAACTCCGTCCAGAGGGTGATGATTTATTTACTCCAAGCAACTGTGTCATTTACAATAATCCATTTGGGTCGGGTCGGGAATAACAGTCAAGGATGCAGTCAGTGTCGCTCCCTTTCGCCCACAAAACGAGCAGTCGATTAATTCACTTTACAGTGCAATCTGCGAAGCGCTTTGAGACGTCTCGAAGACGTGATAAATGCAACGATTATTATTATTATTATTATTATTATTATTCTCCCCCCCACCCCCATAATATCCAATTGACATCAGAAACGCAAAACAACCCTCTTTTCTGGTCCTGTAACGCACAATCAATCCTGTGTGGCCCAGTTGCTGGCCCGCTGGAGGCCAGTCGAGGAAGTTACAGTTTCAACTCAATTCACGGGGGAAGGCGAGGTGAGGGTGAGGGGGGGAAACAAATCCTAAAAATAACTTGAAACGTTATCAACAAAAACAGAGGCGGCGCGTTCGTCCATTCGTCCGCCCCACCGTCTGCCTGCGCGGCAAGTAGTCCCCAACCCATCCCCTGGGGGGGAGAGACAAGCGACAATAACGGTATAACTGGTTTAAAAAAAAGTCTTATACAAGGATTACCTTCGCCACTTCTCGCTATAAATATACGCTGTGGTAGTTGAGGGGGAGTGGATGGGGGAAGGAGGGAGAGGCGGGTTGAAGGATTGGAGCGCAACCTAACTTACTGCCTGCCATCAGCTCCCGCCTCCTCTTCCTTTCACGTCCGTCCCCGCCGTCGGCGGCGGCGGCGGCTCTTCAGCGGCGAGCACCACCTCCGCGCTCGCAGGGTTTCGTCACTTCCGGCATCAAGTTGGGTTGCGGTGGCTGCGTGAAAAAAAAAGTGTCCGTTGGTCTCGCGCGTCAGAGGAGCCTCGGCGGGTGAGGTGAGGGGGTTCGCGAGCGTCGAGACCTGCAACCGTCCAACCGTCAGTCAGCCTGCGGGGCGGTGCAACCTCTCTCTCTTTTTTATATATATATATATATTCCCCCCTCCCCTCCTCCTCCTTCACCACCATCTCCTCCTTCCCCCCCCCCCCTTCCTCCTCCTCTTTCTTTTTCTTCTTCTTCTCCTTCTCCCTCCTCCTCCTCCTCCGAGCAAACAGACGAGTTCAACATTGAGTCTCCTCAGTCAGCCGTGTCTTCCGAAGGATGGGAAACACTGCGACAGCCAAAAAGGGCAACGAAATTGAGAGCGGTGAGTGTGCGATATGGTCAGAGAGAGAGAGAGAGAGAGACGGAGACGGTCGGCGAGAGGGAGGGAGGGTTGGGCGGCTCGGGCTCGGGCTCATTCATTCTCTTCCTTCGCCTGTGGGTTTTTTTTTAATAACAATCCCATTGCCAGTCGGGTTTGGGCCTAGTGCAGCCAGGCTCGGCCGGTAAACGCTGCCCAACCCCTGCCCGGGATGTAGTCGCAATTTTAAGGGACGTTTCCATCCGTTCGAGACTGTGGTTGTGTGGTTATTGTCTGTCTCTCTCTGTGCGTTTTCTGTCTCTCCCCTTCTCCGCGCGGGGCATTTCCCGAGTTGTTTCAGAGACTGTGGCGCTTGTTTTGTTTTGGAGAACGGGCTGGTTGGTGTTTGTTTGTAAGGTGTAAACAGTGGAAATAATGGATGCAAATTTGAGTGAGGCCTCCGCCGCAGACTGGACCAACCAGCAGAGGGTTTAGGCTGCTTCACGCTAAGTTTTTTTTTATATTCCGCTTTAATTTTAATATGCGGTTGGTAAATGGCCTCGGGTAGAAAATGAAAGAAGCAATGGAGTTTGTTACTTTTCTCCGCTCAGTTCAGTGGTGTGATTACTTATTGGAAAACTTCAGTATTTTGCCAAGATGTCAAATATTTCAACATGGGATTTGGAAATGCACTGAATTTTTGCTTTTTATACTGTATTCATTGCATAAATTCTACAGTATTATAGCTGCCACTTAATTTTCTGGATGCTATTAATCCATCTAAATGTCCAGTGACCGTTTAGGAGGTTGAACTTTTACAGAACATACATAATTTCAGACGACAATAGCCATGTGCAAAAAGTTTTATGTCTTCATGCTACACCATGGAAAGCAGTAAGTCTAGCTTTTTTGCATAGTTTTTATCCAATGCACTACTTGTAAACAAGTCATACATTGGTCCTTAGTAAGTATATTTTGTTAGATCATTGTATAGAATATCTTGTGAACTATGTTCTGAAACTTTTTGCGAATGTTACACGAACATTAAACCTGTCTAAATGATGACAGAATGGTCTTCTGCAGAAATAGGAAGTAGTTACCTCATCTTTCAGTATATTTTGTAATGTTAGTTTTTGTTTTGTGCAATTATTATGGACTTTGAAGACTTTAGAGGAAATAATGTGTAATATGTATTACGTAAATAGTGCTATTAACTGTTATCAAATCCGTTAGTTGTTTAGTTATGTGCTTTTTGGTTTCTACTTTTAAGATTTTATCTCCTGTGCGACATTGTTATAAAAATACAAACCATAAATCATAATCTAACTAAATAACTTCAATCTAATATTGCAATTATAATAAAGTAACTAATATTATTGTGTTTAATAAGTTCTCATCCATCTATATATGATGTCCTGGAGTATTATTTAATATAATTGTGCATATTATAATAGATTGCACACAAGTCCACTCAAAGAAAAGTGAGACCCTTAATAACAAGAATAAATCCTTGAATTTGATATCGTGCTTTTTAGGTCTTGTAAAATGAATTGACTGTATATTTGTGGGTAAAACCTGGTAGTGTGTTTCTAGGTTTTTCTTGACTTAAGTATTTCTTGATCTATGCATTTTATACAAATTTTAAAACTTTTTTTTAATTTAGCACAAATGTGCCATGCCGTAGTGCTGCAAAGGTGTGTGATACAATGAGACATAGACAGATAAGAGCCGCATGGAAATTAGAAGGTCCTGTTGCAAAGCAATTTGTAAAACACACTACTGATCGAACACAGACTTACCTAGACTAGTGTGAACATTCAGGGACTGCTTCTCAATGGCCCAACAGTTTATGGTTTGGTTGACACTGCTGTACTTTATGCAATTTGAGGATTTGTAATTTATGAGCAATAAAAATCTTAATGATATTTGAGAAATTAGTGTTTAAAATTATGAACGGATTTTATGAGAATGGCATAAATAATTCATTTCCATGTTAGTGACTCCATAACGAATAGGCATAAATATGATAGCCACCAGCAGATCTAAAAGAGTTTAGGAGAAATTTCTTTATGCAGAGGGGTAGGGAGAATTTGAAGCTCACTGCCAGAAGCTGTGGTTGAAGCAGAAAGTGGCAATGCATCTCTGAGGAAACTTGATGGGGTAGAATGGAATAGAGAGATATGAAAGGGGGATACGTATGGATGGCGGTTTATGTATGTACTGGCACGTTTGGGCTGAATGGCCTGCTTTGGTGCTACACAATTAAGTATATGTGCTTGTATTACCATCCATTTTAAATATCAGTTTATTTAACTGAAGATCAACGCTTGGTTAAACTCGCTGTGCATTGTATGATCATTAATTATCTGATGAAACTTGTTGAGGGCTAAAGAAACTTGGCTGTTGACAAGTAACACAACTTATTTGTTGCACAAAAATAGTGAAAATGCAACTGCTACAGTGATAAAGTATTTTTAGGGATTAACGGATTGCAGAGGTATGCTTCAAGCTATTTTACTGGTTCAAGCTAGACATTGTATCCTATAATTTAAATACTTAGTTATTAACTTTTTTATTGGAACAGTCAAATTGTTTGCTTGGTTAGTCTAGTAACTTAGAAAAGACTGCGGCTCTTGGTGCTTGTGTCTTAACTGACCTAAACAGTAATTTAAATTGGTTTTCATTGAATGACCGTGAGACCTCCTTGAACACCGAAAAAGACCATGAGAGAACTTTCATTTGCAACATTAACTGGAGTGAGTGCAGTCTACCAGTTAATAAGTACAGTGAATGTTTTCTTCATGTCATGCATATTAGTTCATTAATTAATTTCAGGTTCAAATGTGATGCTTTGAGAGAGTGAAGGAAACAATTGTAGTGTGACGCTATCTTGCCAGACCCGGTTTAGTGCTTGTAATGTATACTGTAGACAACGACAAAATTACATTTGTAGGACGCCTTTCACATCAGGAGGACGTCCTAAAGCGCTGAACAGTCAGGTGTCAGGGCCCGAGCATAGGGGAGGGATGGTGTAGTCGTGAGGGAAGGCAGAGAGGTGGGAGGGAGACCAAAGGCACGGTCGAAGAGAAGGGTCTTGAGACTAGCCTTGAAGGAGGCAAGGGAGGAAGCGAGGCAAAGGGACTGTGGGATGGAGTTCCAGAGTGTGGGGGCAGAGAGGCTGAAAGCCCAGCCACCGATGGTCGGGCGGGAGACATGGAGCAGGCCGGAGCCTGATGAACAGAGGAAGCAGACAGGTTGGTAGGGAGTCAGCAGGTCAGAGAGGTAGGAGGGGACAAGGCCATGAATGGCCTTAAAGGTGAGGACGAGGATCTTGAACTCGATCCTCTGGGGGATGGAGAGCCAGTGGAGTCAGGTGAGGGTGGGAGTGATGGGATCACGGAGCCTGGTGCGTGAGAGTACATGAGCTGCAGAGTTTTGGATGATCTGCAGCTTGTGAAGGCTCGTCTTATACTGGAAAGTATCAACCAGCCAGCTCTCTGGACTAAAACATGGCCATCTTTCAGTTTACAGTTGACATAATTTCCTGTGTGTTGACCTGATATTACTTCCTGCGTACTGCAAATGTATGCTACACTTTTGATATCAATTCATGAAAGAAGCAATGTCGTGGTTGCTTGCCTATAGTGACTTAATAAGTGATGTCAGGCAACCCGATGACCTGCAAGGTTGTAAGGTGGCCATTTTTTTTCATGCTTCATTTTACCATGGGCTCTACGTTTATGGACCCAGACCATCATGATTGAACTGGGTCGCCCTGAAGAAAAGAGAGGAAAAACTTGCATTTTTACAAACCTTGTAACTTTAATGTCTCCAAAAGTGTCTAAAAAGGGTTGAACTGTTGTGTAGGAATTGTTTTTGTAGGCAAACGTGCTAGCCATTTTACACAAACGGTGGAAAGAGCCATGGGGTGAATAATTTGGAGATGGAGGTAATGCTGTCAATTTTATTTTCACTATGATTTTTATGGTTTTAGGTTGTGACATTGGCCAGGCTAGTTTTGTCACATTGCAAATGACACAACCTGGAATGAAACTTAAACATGCTAAAGAATTGTTAAAAAAAATTGAGGTATCACCCTGTGAAACATCTGGCCAATGTATTTGAAGTCACTGTTCAATCCCTCCAGGTAGATGTTGCACGCCTGCGAGGCATCAACAAAAGACTGTAAAACAGGGATGCCTTTACAGAGGCTCGCTTTATAGAAAATAACATCCACATCTTCACTAGCAGGTAGTATAATAGTACAACTAGGGAGATGATGAACTGTATAGCACATCAGTTAAAGTTTGGGGGGAGAGTGGAGAAAGTTGGGAAGTTAGTATTTATCTTACATATGTTATGCTTTTGACATAACCCTATAAATAAGTCTACTTTTATTTAAAAAAAAGTTGACTATTCATTTTGTCTGCTGGTTTGCCTTTAATTAGGTAAGTTTGGATTTATAATAATAATCCTTGCATTTGATATAGCGCCTTAACATGTCATTGAGACATCTCAAAGTGCTTCACAGACTATATTGTAAAGTGGATTGACTGTATACCTTGTAACTGGATTGTGGGCGAATCACGGCAGCCAATTGCGCACAGCAGTGTCCCACAAACAGTCGTA